CTTCAAGCTTTTGATCAAATGTGCATTCTCAGCTACTGATCTAGGACTATGCCTGCCTGCCTGCCCAAGTTCTCGACCATGTTAATGGATTAAACCTCTGAAACTGTAAGTAAACTCCAATTAAATTCTTCCTTTATAAGTTACTTTAGTAACAGTGTTTTGGAACAGCAATACTAACCATAACTAAGGCACTCAACCATAAACTTTCTAACTTCACAGACACACTTGAGAAAACACTAGACTAGGAATTTCTGTACTGTAGCTTGGTCAATAATTAACTATGTTTACCATTTAGGGAAGATGTCTATTTTGACCCTCAGTTCTCCCATGTTTGTAGCACACACATACCTATTGTATTACCATTGTTGTTTATTTTGTGCACATACATGTGTGTTTTTACATAGCTGTGGGTACACATATATGTTCAGATAGACATGAATGTGTGTATGCATATGGTTGGAGGTCAGAGGTCAACATCAGGTGTCTTGCCTTAGGAGTCTTTTTTTCTTTATTATTATTATTTTTTTAACAGATCCCACCAATTGGAACCGGAGCTCTCTAATTAACTTCGGCTGGCTGGCTGGTTATTATGCCCTAGAAATGTTCCTGTCTTTTCCACCCCAGCACTAGGATTCGAAAGAAGCAAGTGTAACTATATTCAAAAACAATTTTTTTTGGTGGATGATGTATTTTTTTATTTTTATCAATTACAGTTTATTTACTTTGTATCCCCCTGTAGCTCCCTCCCTTCTCCCCTCCCAATCTCATCCTCCCTTCCCCTTCTCCACCCATACCCCTCCCCAAGTCCACTGATGATGAGGACTTCCTCTACTCCTTCTGATCCCAGTCTATCAGGTCTCATCAGGAGTGGTTGCATTGTCTTCCTCTGTGGCCTGGTAAGACTGCTCCCCGCCCAGGGGGAGGTGATCAAAGAGCAGGCCAATCAATTCATGTCAGAGACAGGCCCTACCTATTCCCATTTCTATGGAACTCACTTGGACACTGAACTGCCATGGGCAACATCTGTGCAGGGGTTCTAGGTTATATCCATGAATGGTCCTTGTTTGGAGTATCAGTCTCAGAAAAGACCCCTGTGCCCAGATTTTTTGGTTCTGTTGCTCTCCTTGTGGAGCTCCTACCCTCTCCAGGTCTTACTATCTCCTCCTTCTATCATAAGATTCCCTGCACTCTGCCCAAAGTTTGACTCTAAGTCTCAGTATTTACTTTGATACCCTGCAGGGTAGAGCCTTACATCTGATTTTTGACAATGATGCCAAAACTATTCAATGGAAAAAAGAGAGCATCTTCAACAAATAATGCTGGTCTAACTAGATGTCTACATGTAGAAAAATGTGAATAGATCCATACTTATCACCCTGCACAAAACTAAAGTCCAAGTGGATCAAAGACCTCAACATAAAACCAAATATACTAAATTGGTTAGAAGAAAAAGTGGGGAAGAGCTTTAAACTCATTGGCACAGGAGACAACTTCCTGAACAGAACACCAACAGCACAGGCTCTAAGAGCAACAGTCAATGAATGGGACCTCGTGAAACTGAAAAGTTTCTGTAAAGCAAAGGATATTGTCTTCAGAACAAAATGACTGCCTACAGATTGGGAAAGTATTTTCACCAACCCTATATCTGACAGAGGGCTAATATCCAGAATATAGAAAGAACTCAAGAAGATAAACAACAACAAATCAAGCAATCCAATTAAATGTGGGGTATAGAGCTAAACAGAGAATTCTCAATAGAGGAATATCAAATGGCAGAGAAACGCTTGCATTCAGATTTTTAAACTTGTGGGGCTCTGCTGGAAAAGGTTGAAGTCTGACATCTCAAGATAGCCATTTTTTTTTTTTTTTGCAATCAGTCTATAATGGTGGACTCCCTTTTCTCAGCAGGGTTCTAACTCCCCCATCTGAGTGACCACAGTTCTTATAAGGAGTGTCATATAACCCTCAGAGGAGATTACAAGCCAGAGCCTTTCCTGATAAGAAAAGTGGTCCAGCAAGCATCTGGGAATTCCTAGAAATGCTCACCTCTGCTAAGGATATTAGTTTTTAGCAATGGCCTTCAATTATGCTTGGAGATTCTCTCACCCGTAGAATAAACAAGTACTGTTATCCTTCTTGTGATGGTACCATGCTACTGCATGTAAAATGAGGCACTATACCAATATACGTAAATCATGTATCCCTGACCACCTAACCCCAGCAAAACAAACACATTCACCCTCAAAATCCCTCCCACTGCCCAAAGTTTGTAAGTCCTTGATTTCAAAGAAATGTGCTGGCTGTTTGTGTGCTGTGTGATACCATCAGCCTTCCAATATGGCCACCTGAGATTCATCATTTATTCCCTGCAGGGCCTCATCTCACCAGGCCTACCTTCTGGCCAGGTGAGCCTTAGTGGGCCTGGGCATCACCAGGATTGTGTCTCGGCTGCAAGCCCACCAGGAATGGGCTTTGGCCTGCATCTTTGTTGTGCTTAGCACAGCAGCTTAACCAAGAACTGTAACACTTTGGTATCACCAGAGGCTTTGGAATGTCTGAGTTTCCATTGCCACCAGTGCTCACACTCTTTTTTTTTAATTAAATTTTAATTTTTTATATTAATTACAGTTTATTCACTTTGTATCCCAGCTGTAGCCCCCTCCCTCATTCCTTCTCAATCCCACCCTCCTTCCCTCATCTCCTCCCATTCCCCTCTCCAAGTCCACTGATAGGGGAGGTCCTCCTCCCCTTACATCTCACCCTATCTTATCAGGTCTCATCAGGACTGTCTGCATCGTCCTTCTCTGTGGCCTGGCAAGGCTTCTCACCCCTCAGGGGGCAGGTCATAAAAGAGCCAGCCACTGAGTTCATGTCAGAGACAGTCACTGTTCCTCTTACTAGGGTACCCACTTGGATACTGAGCTGCCATGGGCTACATCTGAGGAGGGGTTCTAGGTTATATCCATGCATGGTCCTTGGTTGGAATATCAGTTTCAGAAAAGAACCTTGTGTCCAGGTATTTTGGTGTTGTTGCTCTCCTTGTGGAGCTCCTGTCCTCTCCATGTCCCACTATCTCTCCCTTCTTTCAAAGGATTCCCTGCACTCTGCCCAATATTTGATTATGAGTTTCAGTATCTGCTTTGATACACTGTTGGGTAGTATTTCATAGGCCCTCAGTGGTAGGTTCCTGTCCTGTTTCCTGTTTTCTCCTTCTTCCAGTATCCATCCTGTTTGTCTTTCTGAGTGAGTATTGATCATCTTACTCAGGGACCTCTTTCTTGCTTAGCTCTCACTCTTAAATGAACTAAACTGTAACAATCTGTCTTTTCCCAGACCCAAGCCTAGCACACATGGTCCTCTCCCTTAACTGTTCTAGCTACTCCTGAGAGAAACGGAACCTCCATTCTCCACCTGGAAGCTGAGTTCCAGGTCAAACTGAGACCTACAAAACTGTTTTTCTAAATTAGAAAATCCTGATGATAAAAAATGTTAAAATACATGTACCATGTTCATGCAAGGGACTGCCCTTGCTCCCCTTACCAAAAGACCCCCATGGGCTACATCTGAGCAGTCCTGGCATCAACTCAATTGCTTGTTCTTTGAACACCTCCCCCTATTGAGACGGCCTTATGAGGCCACAGGAAAAAGAGTATCTAGACAGTCCTGATGAGACCTAATATGCAAGAGTCAGATAGTAGGGGAGGAGGACCTTCCCTATCAGTGGACTAGCAGAGGGATATGGGGGAGGGAAGAAGGAGGGAATGGGGCTGGGAGGAGATGAGGGAGGGGCTACAACTGGGATACAAATTGAATAAGTTGTAATAATAATAATAATAATGAAAAGAATAGAAAAATACATGCATCACAAGTGTTTTTAAACTAAGGCATTACGTTAAATAAGCCTAAATTCAAATTACCAGACAAATAACTTGAACTTATTTTCATTATGGTTCTCAATGGCAAATAACTCTTTGAGTTGACTGGTAGTGCATCTTCATAGCCAACAACATAAACACTGAAGCATGAGTTCACACTCTATTATTTACTTTGGTTACTCATTTGTGCTTTGTTTTCTCCACTGGTAAAATAAGAATTGTAATAGTAATCTACCTTCTAGTATTGAGAGGTCTAAATTCATTTGTATATGTAAAATCTGTGAGCTTTAATAAACTAGTGACTCTGAATCAATACTTATTAGTACACATAAAATGTTTAGAGTAATTCATAGCAGTTCTATGTAAAGCCCATACATATAAAAATTTAATTAAATTGCCTAGGGCAGTGATTCTCCACCTTCCTAATGCTGTGACCCTTTCATACAGTTCTCATATTGTGGCGACCCCCAACCATAAAATTATCTTCATTGTTACTTCATAACAGTAATTTTGCTACTGTTATGAATCATATTGTAAGTATCTGATATATAGGATATCAGATATCGCTGTGAAAGGGTAATTTGACCTGCAACGGAATCACAACTCACAAGTTGAGAGCCACTGGTCTAAGAGATTAAGAATTATTATATTATGATAAAATAAATATGAGAAACAGATAAATGCACACTAGCCATTGAAAATTATGGAACTTGAGGGAAACCTTTATGAGAGAACAAAGGTTATTTGAAAGCTAATGTACTTAGGCTTCTATGCTTAAATCTTTTTATAATAACTAAACAAGAAAAATCTCCTTTTACCTCTTCCAGAATGATTTAACATTATAGTCTTGAATCAGAATAGAGATTGTTTCTATATGCATTTTAACTTTTTTTCCTTTTATAATAGAAGAGATAAAAAATTGTCTAAAGCAAGATATTCTTCATTTTAAAAGTGACATAAAAATCTGGCATTAAGATGCGTAGTCTCTGAATTTCTTATGGGTTTTCTTAAGTGATTTCAGCCCCAGATATATCAAAGCTACTGACACTTTTGGAAGTGTTAAAATGTTATTAATAAAATTTATAAAATAAGATATTTCCAAAAGCCACATACATTTTAACTTACCTGGAGGACGATTATCCTTTCTGCGAGCACCGAGACGATGTATTTCATTTTCTGAATCACGGTAGTCAGATGCCAAGAGATGTCCTTCTCTTTCCTTATCCATTTGAAACCCCTCATTGTCTAATCCCTTCTCAGTCTTTATGAGGTGTCTTTTACTTTCAGGTTCATTTTGATGTCTTTCATTTCCAGATTGTGTCTGATGTATTTCAGATCTCGAGCCTACTTGATCTTTTTCAGTGAAGCTCTGAAATGTTTGAAGGTCATCCTGACATTTTCCAAAGCTATCTTGAGGTGTTATAGACCTAAACTGATATTTTCCAGAGCTGTCCCAGTGTCCTTCATGATCAGAATCTGATTGTTTTCTTTTAACATCTAGCCAGTGCTGTGGAGACTCAGACCTAGGTGCCTCCTTGAGTCTTTCCAAATTACAGGTACTTTGACATGTTTCAGCCTTCTTCATGTGCTTCACAGAATCAGAGGATATCACAGGGCTTTCAGAGTCTGAGTTCACTGTTCTTCTTTCAGACCAAGAATCCTTTGGAAAGTTTTTGTTAGCAGTGCTCTGTTGAAATGTTTTTGTATCCATGAAACACTTTACAGCTTCTGAAGCTAACTCAGATCTTTCTGAATCTGAGTCCACATCACTTGGGTCAGAGTCAGAGTCCATCATATACCTCTTAAATCTTGTTTTTTTTGTTTTGTCAACGTGTATCAGATGTACCTTAGCTTTTGGTGCTCTATCCTTTCTTTTGTATGGGTGCACTGAATAACTTTCAGTATCAGAAATCATCCAAAAATATTCACTTTCCATCATTGTTTCTTCAGATTCCATCATTCGTTTTATAGAATCTGAAGCCATTTGCTGTCTTTCTTCTTTCTTCCTTTCACTGTCAGAGTCAGAGTACCTTTCAGAGTCAAAATCTTCCAGGAACTTTTCTGAGCCTGAGGCCACCCAGTCTTTCAGAGATCCTGGTTCCACCTGGTACTGTTCAATTCTCACCAGGGGTTCCCCAGTTTGGGTCAAGTCTTCAACAGAGACTGAATCCACCGGATATGTTCCTGCTTTAAACAGCTGTTTTCTAGAGTCTGAATCCCTAGGAGATTTTTCTGAGTCAGAGTCTACTCCCAATATTACTGATCCAGAGTCAAGAGATTGTTTATCTAATTCAAAATCTGAGACAATACCTCTGTCAGAGTCAGAATCAATCACACATCGTTCAGAACCAGAGTCTATAAGAGGAGTACCACTTTCAATTATTGTCAGGTCTTGTAGAGTTTTATAAAAAGAACCACCTAGAGTTTCAGATGCATCTGCATCAGGATTTTCTTTTTCTGATTTGTTTTCTTTATCATGTTCCAGTGTAATTGCTTCTTCATCACTTAAAGAAAAACAAACATGAATATATGTTTACGTATTTTCCAGTTGGTACTAAGATATTATGGGTCTATTCAATTTTTTTCTGTAAGAACATACTATGAAGATCATAGTCCTACCCACTGATCATATAAAACAAAAGACAACACGACAACACTAAAGTTTTTGTACCATTATATATATATATATATATATATATATATATATATATATATATATATATATATACTGTGTATATATATACTGTGTTTATTTTACACTCACTTGCATCTTTCTCTCACATTAACACTTTTCCAATGGACTTAAAAGTACCTCCCTGAGTAGGATACTTGCTTGTTAACAAGTGGTATTCTTGTCCCTATCTGTCAATATATCAACATTTATGGATCAAGTACCATGCTTAAAGTGTACTTTAAATTAAAAGTAGAATATTTTTACATTTAAGTCTAGGTGAAAATTGTACATAGGTAGATCTGATTATTAGAAGATTTACCTTGGACTATCAACTCTTTGTGAAGGTGAATAACTCTCAGGTACTCTTTGATTTGGAAGTGATGCATATTGTATGGGAGCTCCATATGAAAAGATGGTTGTAGTTACTGGCTGAAAAACAAATAAATTATAAAGTTATAGCTTTTTAACTTACACACAAAACACAGCACATTAAAGCATTTAAACTAGAGAGGATATTAACTCTCTAGTCTAAGTTACAAAGGCTTCATATAACCTGAGTAAAACTTCAGAATTAAAAATTAAATGCAAGGGTAGACACAGCAGACACATTATGAGATGTTTGTTCATCATCTATGTTCCTATAAACTAATCTCCACTTCTAAATACTGGAACTATGCAACTTAGTCTTTGGACTGCATTTAACTGGCATTTGATTCAAATTAGAGTAACTAGACACACTTTGTTAGATATTTAGACTTAGTATTCAGAAAAATTTCCCCTGCTGGTTGTGTTAAATGAGTATAGGCCATTTCAGTCTCCATGTAAAAGCTAATTCTGTCATTTGCTTAGAGGAGTATAAAAAGTAACCTTTAAAGAAGAACAAAACAGCCATGCATAGATAAAGTACACACAAATGATCATATGCTTCTAGAAAAACAGAAATGGAAATATTTTTTATCAAGTTCTTGATATTTTTTTCTAATTAGTTTTCTTCCTTCAAGTATTAACTCAATTTTTTGTCCTTGAATATTTTAACGGTGTAATAGATTACTGAAACAATTCTACCCAACCTGTCCACTTTTTCCTTCCTCAAGTATAAATAAAGATTTGTTTCTTTCAATCACAGTAAATTTGGTGAGAGATCAGAAATGCAGTCGGTAATTTAATAAAAAAATGGAAGTAAAAATTGTGTAATAAATTTGACTTTCAGACACATGAAAAATACATACAAAGAAAGAAAGTTGAAGGATGACCAAAATTAATTTGATCTATGTGAAAAAATTACTTTTTTAATGTAACTTGAATGAGATATAACAATACAGTTATATATAATATATATTATATATAATATAATATACAATTTATGCAGAATATAAAAAAATTTCCATATTATCTCTTATATTTAAAAATTGATGGTACTACATGAGAGGTTTGAAATCTACTTTCTCAGAAGATAACAGGGAAGCTCGGACAAAATATTTAAGATTTTTTTACAATCTTACAAAAATTATAAAATGTAAATGACTAACAAAGATAACATTTATTTACAAGGAAAATAAACAATAAAATATTAAAATTTCCACATTACAGTAGATGGAAAATAGCATTTAGGATCCAAGATGGATAAGGATCTGAAACTTCAAAATTGGTGAGTGGAGGGGCAGCTAAAGCCAAAACATGGACATTGAGGCTTCCTGGGCAAGAGGGGACAACCTGTGAGCTGAGACATTTTGGATCCAGGTCACCTGCGGACATTTTTGGGGACTGAGAGTGGTGAACATTCAACATCCCTGCACTTCCCCTTGATGGGCCTCCCTCCTTCCTCCTCCACAGAAGGGAGCCCACAGCTTGGTAACTGAGACAGAAGAGGTGGCCAGTGTCAGGCTACAGTACAAGCTTCCCAAGGCCTCACAGCCTAGCAACTGTACCAGCCTCTCATGTCTGCAGCAGTGGCAGTGGGGTGGTAGCAGTGTGGCAGCTAGCCGTCTGAATGCTCCTTGACTGAGAGAACCAAAGTGGCTATTGAAAGTAAGGGTCTCTCAGTCCAGCTGACAAACAGTGGATACCACTGAGCTGACTGATATCCTACACCCTCATTTGCCCCTACAGGGCCAAATATGAGAGTAAAAAACAGGGGGAAACCTTGTGCTTTCTAATTAGGCCTGCAAGAGCACTTTCAAGTGAGTGCATGGAGAGCCCTAGATCCAGGGTTCCTCTACACTGGCAGCCAGACATCAGAACCCTTCCACCCAGAGCCCCACTGCAGGCAACATAGGGATTCTTTGCACAGCATTCTCAGTATTCAAGCCCCTGTTCTGTGGGTCTACCAGTGGAGTCCAGGGAAGCAATTCCTAGAGGTCAGAGAGATCTGAATACCAGGTCAGTACCACAGGCTTGTAGGCCACTGCGGTATTAAGGGTATTTATGCATGCTCATTGTGCCTGCTAACAGCACCAGCACAAACACACACTCCTGCGCTTAAGCCCCCACATTCCAAGCATCTACACCCTCTAGCACCCTGTCATTCAAGGCACACTTCCATGCATACGACAGCTCTTGCTCGCCCACACTTCTGTACACACACCAGCGACATTTCTCCCTTAGCTATAGCTGAAACACAAACACACACTATCAAACTGGTGGGCTTCTCTCATCTTCCTGAAGAATACTCCAGACACCAGAGAAAAACGGATCCAGTCCGAAGTAAGACTCCAGAAACAAGCAGCAAAGGTTAAGGATTAGCAGATGGGTAGAGGTTGGCATCAGAACACATCCAACAAAATCAGGACATCATGGCTTCATAAGCAACCCCTCAAATCAATGGATATTTTAATTCATCAGAAACATAGGAAAATTATTTTAAAGCTATGCTTAAACAGTTATTAAAGGCATGTAAAGAGGAAACAAACATATCTCTCAAATAAATAGCCACACAAATGGAGGCAAATAAAGAGGAAATGAACAATCCTCTTGAAGAAATACAGGCAAATAAAGCAAAACAAATAGAGGTACCAGTAGAGGCATAGAGAAGAAACAAACAAAACTCTCAAAAAAATAGTGGCAACTACAGCCAAACAAATAGAGGTGCAAGTAGAGGCAGAATTAGTGGCATATAGAAAAGAAACGAACAAAAAATAGAGGCCATAATGGAAAGACAGGAATCCAAATTCAAATAGATGAAGGAAATGGTGCAAGACATGAGAACAGAATTAAAATCAATACAGAAAAAACAAACAGAGAAAGCCCTTTAGCTGCAGAACTTAGAGAAAAGATCAGGAACCATAAAGGTAAGCATCTCTGCTGCTGAAGATACACTTGAAGAAATTGATACTTCTCTCAAAGAAAAAGTAAAATCAGGAAAGTTCCAAACACAAAACTTCCAAGAAATCAATGATGCCACAAAAAGCTGAAATCTAAGAATAAAAGGAATAGATGAAAAAGAAGATTCCAAGCTCCAAGGTCCAGAAAATATTTTCAAGAAAATCATAGAAGAAAATTTTCCCAACTTAAAGAAAGAGATGTCCATAAACATACACGAGGCCTACAGAACGCCAAATAGACTAGACCAGAAAAGAAACACATAATGTCACATCATAGTCAAAACACTAAATTTACAGAACAAAGAAAAGATATTAAAAGCAGCAAGGGAAAAAGGCCAAATAACACATAAAGGTAGACCTATCAGAATCACACCACAGTTCTCAAAAGAAACTATGAAAGCCAGAAGGGCCTGAGCAGATATCATGGAGACTCTAAAGGACCATAGAAGCTCTCAGTCAACATAAATGGAGAAAACAAAATATTCCATGACAAAACTAAACTTAAACAAAATCTACACAGTAACCCAGCCCTACAGAAGACACTAGAAGGAAATCTCCAATCCAACAGAAACACAGAAACACCCAAGAAAACACAGGATAAAGAAACTTCACGGAAGATCCAAGATGGCGACCGCTAGCATGCGCTTTATCTGAGGGGCAAAGGACCTGAAATGTCGAAATTAGTGAGTGAAGGGGCTACTGAACCGAAAACAGAGTTATTGAGGCTTCCAGGGAGAAAGAGACTAACCATGAACTGAGTCCCTCTAGAATCAGATCACCAGCAGATTCTTCCAGGGACTTGATCCCTAGGCACTTCCCCATATCCAACTCCCCATTCCCTCTTTGGAAGAGGCAGGAGGCAGCCAGCAGAATCCTCCACAGACCACACCACCTGTGCCCCAGCCCAGCAACAGCAGCAGCTCCAACCAAAGAAACCCCAGCTCAGGATCTGGGTCTGAGAATACCCAACCCTTTCAGGCACTCCCCCGAGAATGCTGCCATAAGCCTGCCCTGGCAGAGCAGAAGGATAGAGAGGCTCACTGAGGGTTCTGTCACAGATCACAGTGCCTGGGCTCCAGCGCAGCTGACTTCTCCTAGCAAACAAACCCCGGCTCATGAGCTGGGAATGAGGTCACTCAGCCCTTCCTGATACTCTCCTGGGACCAACAGCAATAAGGTCTAGCACCAAGCTCTAGTACTGGCGGCCCCTGGCAGAGAAACCCTGGCTCAGGATTTGGGACTGAGAATACCCAACCCTTCCAGGCGTTCCCCTGAGACCGCCGCCATAAGCTTGCCTTAGCGGAGGGGAAAGACAGAGAGGTGGCCTGCAAATTCTACCACAGGCCACAGTGCCTTGGCTCCAGTAAAACTGGGGGGCGGAGAAGGCCCTGGCAAAGAAACCTCGACTCAGGACCTGGGACTGAGATTACTCAACCCTTCCTAGTACTCCCCCGTACCTACCAACCACAGTAAGTTCTAGCACTGGCGGCTCCTGGCAGAGAAACCCCGATTCTGGATCTGGGACTGAGGACACTTGACTCAACTAGTACTCCCCTGGGTCCAGCAGCAGAAAGCCTTCCCAGGAGGAGGGGAAGGACAGAGAGGAGACCTGTGGATTCCACCACAGGCCACAGCGCCTGGGCCCTGGCCTCGGGATCTGGGACAGAGGAGATTCAGTCCCTACTCCCCCTACCCACCCCTACCCCAGCACTTCCCTGGGTCCAGCCACCAAAATCATTCCCTGGTGTAAGTGAAGGATAGAGAAGAAGCCTGCAGAGTCTGACACAGACCACACTGCCCAGGCCCTAGCACTGGCTGCGCTCAGCACAGCACACAGTGCAGGTGGACACCAAGACCTGCTGCTACAGCGCCACTGAGCTGACTGTTAGCCTACACCTGCATTTGTCCCAGCAGGATCAAATCGGAGAGTAGAAAGCAAGAGGAACCATTGTGCTTTCCAACTGGTCCTGCAGGGAGTGAGTGTGCCTTTAAGGGAGTGTTTGCAGAGCCCCAGATCCAGGGCTCCTCTACAGAAGCCACCAAACAACAGATCCCTAACACCCACACCCTTAGTTTGGGCATCATAGGGATTCTTGGGACAATGATCCC